TAAAAAAAAATTGTGCAAACAGAAATGTGTGATAAGATTGAGTTATTTTCTTTAAATGATAGGATTACACAGAATTATGTCTTTATTAAATAGACAATGAAAATAAACCAATGGATCGATTCGACCAAAATCTGAAGAGCACATTATGCCGTTAAAAAAATAAATAAAACTACTGATGAAAAAAGCAAGAATATTCCAACCCTTATTCGAGGAGAAATCAAATGAATAACAGTACTTGTTAACGCAAAATTACAGCATTTCGAGTCTAAATTCTTACCATATGAGTGGGAGACCAACAAATTAAGTACTTACATATGAAACATGGACGGAGTGATAACAACTTGAAAGCAAATTTCTCGTTTATGTATGTGAGGATTATCAAATACGATTTTAGATAGTCAGTATAGACAACAAGTATTATTTAATTATGATCCTATTTCTGTTACATTTAATATAAACACACAAATTGAAAAACTAACGAAAGTAAGACAACTGTTATCTGGTAAGCTTTTTTAAAATCGATGTTACCTTTTGGACTTAAACTATTGGGAAGAAAAGTATATTGGAAAAATAAATATAAGTAATATAAAAATAGAGCAAAAGATTTTCAATTTCAACCAACAAAATATCTTTTGAATTTGCCGAAAGCACCTTGATTTGATATTCAATTAACACATCTTAGTCCAATATCATAATTTTGTACTCTAATATGCCTAAATTAAAATTGATTTATAAACCAAACATCCATGTTAATATCTACCATAATCTCAATTTCAGATCTCTATCATATTATATTCTGTAAAATAACCTTTATTTTTCTCAGACCAACAAAAAATAATTATAAAGCTTAAAAAAACTACGTTATTTTACGTTTCAAATTACGCAGTTGGACTGGTGGTAGGTAACAAACGAACAAAACTGGTAAAATATAAAATTCAATTTAAACGTCTTTACTTTTGATTATTCTCAAATCATGTGTTTACTGAAGAGCGCTCTGTATTGTTTTTTTTTTAGAGTCAAGGCGTTGACCAGTTATTTATGAAACTTGATCTATGCTGCAGCACAGCGATGTCTCTCATAACCGGTCCAAGCTTTAATAACTTCAGAACGACCAGTGTTAAATGAGCTTCCGTAATTTGACAGCGTGATACAGCGATAGCTCTTAAACATTTATTTTTTATCGGTCTAAGTTAAAAAATAAGAGTTATTTTCTTTAATAAAATATTAAATTAGAAATAACATTTCTATTGCACTAGAAGTTATTGTAGTTAATGAATTAAAATATTGCCTTCTAAACAAAAATCTATGAAACCTATTTACATAACACTTAAACTTGAAGGTAGATAATTTGCCCTAGTTACTAAGTTTGATCTGTAGATAACCGAGATTTTCTTCGACAATATGTGAGATGTTGATAGAAATAGATAGTTAACGATGTCATTTCCGATGAACGTACAATTGCGAAAGTTATTAAAAGAACTGAAACGAAATGTAAAATACCTTTATTTGTTTGCAATATTCCTGGTTATAGAAATTGATCCAATAGAATTGACATCGATATAAATCTATTGCTGAGATAGATGTTCCCAGAGATTCTGTTGGAGATTTTAACAAAAGTACTTATAATAATAATAATATGCTTTCCAAAACTATCAAAAATCTAAAAATAATAATCTAAACTAAGAGCAGACACTGTTTCATTCATACATATTTACCGAAGAACTCATTGTATTGGAACAATTTAGATTTTAAGGCAATGACCAGTTAACGATGAAACTTGACCCACGCCCCAGCACAGTAATGGTTCTCTCATAACCGGTCGTAGCTTTAATAACTTCATAAAGACCAGTCTCAAATGAGCTTCCATAATTTGACAGCATGATACAGCGCTTGCTCTTAAGCATTTGGACATTAAATCCTTACATTAGAATATTTCGAAACCGACGCACGACATAAAGTATATTAACATTTATAGTAAAGTTAACAATAATTTAATCTCTTCTATCTTAACTTTTAAGCATTTAACAATATCTATAGAACCACAAAAAGTGAAAAATATTGTACATTAATTAAGGCACTTGGGATGCACAAATATTTAATTTGTTATCTATAAATTATAAGCACTTATAGCAAAATATAATTGTTATAAATATATCTCTTAGAAGAATACATTCACACAGTTATTGACTGACGAAAAGATTTTTTTTTTATGGAAGACTTCATGTAATTTCTGAATGCTATAGTGATATAAATCTTCTGTATAATAACAATATGCTTTGATTTCACGATTCAAAAAAGGGACACATCACTCGTACCTATTGGTACGATTTTACAAAATGGCGTCTACTACCATTTTCAGTTCTTGCTGGTATATTATGGATACATATTACATTTAGACACCTCAGAATTGCGTCGAAGCTCTGCTAAAATTAATTAGATACAAAAAATATGGAAAATCGACATGTAAATTTCAAAATTGTGTGAGTGAGTGAATGCATTATTATTATTATAAAATTTTGATTCTATGGTTAGTTGTAATACATTGCTAAAAACAAGTCAATAAATGTGTGAAAAACAACCTTATTTTAGATTTTATTCCAATATCAGTCCAATATAAATTTATAAAGCGACGATTTGAAGATATTTTTATAGAACAACATATACTTACATAATTATGACGAAAATAATGTAGGACCGCCATCTTGAATTTTTAATTTCCTACCAAAGATTTTGGTGGGGTTTCTTCAAACAGTGCTGCATTCCATCAAAGTTCAACTTTGTACTTATAATAAAACATTTTCTAATGGTCTATAATATGAAGTTTTAACCAAGATTTTGTTGAAACTAAAAATCACTGTGATTATTGTGAAGAAGTCTCTTTAGACAAGAAATGTTAAGCGGACTATTGACTATCCAATACACTGTACAGCAAAAATAATGTAAGTTGAACGCCATCTTTAAAATTTGGCCAGCGTATTCAATAGTCAATGTTACACTTAAAATAATTGTGTGAAATAACAAATTGACAGAATGGTGACATTCATATTTAGCAGTTTACTCTAAAAAGGATTTTCTTTCAACAACTCAAAACTCATTCTGCAAATACAATGATTAAATCAAATCAATATAGTAAGTGTAATTGATTTGACGACGACGCTAAACATGCTGCCTGGTGACTATAATCGGGTAATCAAATTATAGAGAAAAATCCGTGAAAATTAAGACTTATATGCAAAGTGTTAAGGTAATATTTTGCTGAATTTTAGGATAGTCAGCAGTTGTCGGGAAGACCTTCTATTTAAAAAAAATTACATTCATACAATTATAACAAATGTTTAAGGCTTTAACACCTTGCATATCTACCAAGTGCATCACACATTTAGCGCCGCGAAAGTTTGGGTGGCCTACACTAACACTCGTGCCAACAACAACACGATAAAGCGACAACAGAAATACAAATTACAAAGTAAATATAGTCGATGGCGTGTGCCATTTAAAAAAAATATAAATTGTTAATAAAGTTCATCATGTTATAAACATAACAGGCATATAAAATGTTAATAGTTAGACTATTATAATACATAGTATATGTTAACGTGAAAGGCCCAACAGCTATAGCTACATAGTGGTCGATGTTCCGATGAATATGTTACGCGGCGTGTGGGGCCGCGGGTGGGGCGGCCGGCCGCGTCTCCGGTTAGTTCCTCCGCGCCGTTAGCACTCACCTAGCCGGGTTAACGAGAAGAGAGAAAACAGAATGTTAGTATCGATCAAAATGTCATGGTCCGACTACACAGTAGCCCCAATCGCGAGCTCCATAGCTTAATTTGAGGAGACATTCATTGTCCTACATGTTGGCTGACGAGACGAACGTAACAACGAAAGGAAATAAAAATCGATAGCTTTTTTGTACATTCATGCAAAATTATCGGTTTGTATGGTCGTTCGTGCGGATCAAGACAGTCGAATACAGAGACAGTATCGGAAGAATTTCTTTACATTTTGGTTAAATATGTTCTTCAGTTAGCCAACTTGTTTAACACGGAATGGGTCCGCTGCGCTGCCGCGTGCCGGCACCGGCCTCTAATATCACATTTTACATACGTTGTCGCACTTAGAGAATGAGGAATATTGCATATCATGGAATATATATACGAGGTGTTTTACGGAATCCATCAAACGGAGAACATGAGAAGGGGTACCGGCAGAATATGCAGCTATTCAACAAAAGCGATAAACCATGAACTCGGATTGAAATGACTGGTGTACGGATAAATTTCATATAATAGAAATTTGATAAAAAAAAAGTACGGGGAGGCTATCAGGCATTCGCGCCGCGACATTTCTTCGGTTTTGTGGCCCAGTTAATAAAAAAAATATGTACGGATACTTATTAATTAGTTTACGCAGTTAATGGTTGAAACATGTTAAAATTAATTTAGTATGATAATGATAATCTACAAATAAAGGATTAAATGCCCAATAGTTCCCAATAAGCAATGCTTGAAGCATCGCTATGAATTCACGAATGCATCAAGCATAGCTCAAAACAAACAAGCATAATACATTTTTTTATCACTTATGAATAACCATAGCACCCAAATGCAAGTATGTAAGTTATTCAACACATCGCTGTAAGATCTCAATAATAAACTGTATACACAATAGCATTCTTTTGTTATTAGTTTGTGATAACGACGTAATAACGTCATTACATATTTGCATGTTAGTGACTCATAATATAAATATATAGTTACAGATAATCTGCAAATTGTGACATTAGCAGTTATGGTAGTGCACTTGATTATTATGTCAACAAACGGGAACTTGGCCTTGTGGAGTTGCAGGTTAGTCGTGTGAGGCTACAATTGACAATATGACTGACTGCACGTCATCAACTTTATCGACTTAATAACACATCATAAAACATAAATAATATCTTTAAAGTTACTCGCGATACAATCCAGCTAAAAAAAGAAAACCATTTAAAAATTTCAGACAATTTATTGCATGTATAATTTTCTGCAAATGCATTTATTTACAATCAACAATTGAAACAATATTTTACAAAACATCGTCGCATATAGTTCATTTTATAAAATACGGCTTTCTAAAATTCAATTTTCATAATAAGAAGCGTGAAAGAATACGTATGGCATTTGCGTGCCATCATAAATCCACAAGGACACAAGTGCAAATTATCTTAATAGTAACTTTCAAATAAGAAAGTCCATATAATACCTAAGGCAAAAATAGAAACAACTAGCTTAAAAAATTTCATATAAAAATCTTACATTGACTAAGAAAAAGTTGTGATGATGAAAATATGACGGAGCCGAAGGAGGGACATGTTGTTTAATACTGGATATTGATGGCACTGATTCTGAGAATGCCCGCTCCTTGGACTAATACTGGGCGAAAATAGGAAAGAAGGACTTCACAACCAGATTATAGCACCTCTGGGGAACATTTTGATAATACTAGATGATACTACTACATTTCTAACTGGGTTAAGTATGTATTCAAAATTAATAAACTCGGAAACAAAGCAAGTGGACGTATTTAGAACTAATCCTTCTTCCCTTAATTAATTTGTAAATACCCGAAAAGTGCATTACTTGTTGTAATACTTGACAGTTCGAAGGCACATGTTGTGATCAAAATGTTGCAACAATAGCATTGAAAAATAACGACAAAAGTAAATTTGGTAACGCTGGCGCCCAACTATGAACAGCAAATCGAGCTAATGCATCTTTAAAATAATGCCTCGCATCACAACATGTAACAGATCTAAAAATCTATAAAAAAAAGAAATATAAAAATCACAGTTTTCAAATTATGCAGTGTCACTTCAGATTCGGTATGAAGTAGATGGGCGTACATCCTATCCTCATACTAAATAATTGATAATATACCTAATAAGTACACAATATAAATAATAAAAATTGACACAGAGAGACAATAAAGCAAAGGCACCCACACGCATTTTCACGAACGAACATGGTTGCTGGGAGTATCTAGATGTCGTGATTCCACGAGGACACTTAAAAGGTTTTATATATACTTGGGTATAGAATTAGCTATTATTTCATCCCAATTCTATGCTTAAGTTACCCTATTAAGCGTAATAATCTAAGCAATCATATTCGTAGAGCATGCGGTTGCGCGCGCTTCTCACCTTGTGAACAAAATGGCGGCGTGAGAGCGTTTTGGCGGGAATTAAGGCGCCGGTAAGGCAGTGCGCTGGTAAGGGTGCTCCCTCACCTGAGCGAGCCGGCCGGCCCTCCGCACGACACCTAGCGGCATAGGCACATATATCATCTGTGTCACAACTCAAGAGTTTTATATCCTCCAAGAGAACTTGGTACACCCTTTGCCTTGTATTATAAATTTCAAGGATAGACAACAAATCTTCAACTCGTCCATTTTATTTCTTATGCATCAATAAAAGTTTTAAAGTATATGTAATATATGATTTATTATCATATTAAAAATTATTTATCATATATAAATATATGATTTATTTTTGTTAGGTATTTTTTGGCTTATTGGCAATTTTTTAACACATTTAAGTATAATACAAGTCGCCAGGTGACCGTACATTTAAATGCTGAAAAAAAATGTAATCTCATAAAAGTAGATTAGCCCTTAAAAATTCCCTATACCTAACAAATGTAGTTATCTATCACTGCCAAACTTCCGTCAATGTCGTTTGGAGTAGCACTATACATTGTAACACTTTTGGCAGTAACAATAACTCTGATTAATAAGCTTAAACTAACTGATTACCTATCAACTTATTGCTTTGGAAATAATAACAAAATAAAATATTTCGGGTATAAGATAACCCAGTTAAGGTACAGGTATATATAATGGCTGGCATCATAATTTCATTTGAAACAAATTGACTTTACAGTACAAACTGCTGTTTACGTATCTACTATATACGGATGTGTGTATATTCTTTATAAAGCTCACTCTTTTCTATGCCTAACTAAAAATCTTTAGAAGATAATAATACTTAGCCTATGGTATGTTTATAAATATAATAATATGGCTAATAAATTAATAAATTACGACTTCTATTGTAACAATAACACATTATACAGCTAGGAACATGTTATACAGCAGGTACAGACACCATAGGACTGTGCCTCCGAATTACTCGCGTTATGGTGACAAAATTAAATGAAAATGCATTTCAAGCGCCATATATCAGGGTGTTATACGAATACTTGTTCCTAGCTTTTAAGTAGAAAAATGTTATTGTTATAATGATTAAACATCAAAACCGCCTATTTTAGAATGTTCATGTTGCAGAGATTTGTTCATTATGTTTAAGTGTGTGTCGCGTATTAATTTGTCAGTTATGTTAAAAAATAGTTAAAATGTGTAAGTGTGTAATATCGGTTCTCGTTCAAATCGTATTTGGTCCCTTTAGCTTGTAATAGCTGAATAGTTTGCAAAATTCATTTTGTCATTCAGTGATAGTGTTGTTAATAAACACAAGAAGTTTAAAAAAATATATTAACATTAAATTGTGAATTGATTTAAGAAATCTAAGAACAAACACCACATGCAATAAAACGGTGTCATTTTTGAAGAATTCATGAAAATGTTGCCAAACAGGAAAAGTTTGCCGTATTTTATGGATCTACATTAACAAAATGTTAATTGATTAGTTTTGTTACAAGCAAGGGTTATCACAAGAACTATATGAATGGAGACTCTATGTCATCTAACGTCATCAAAGAAATAACGAGAAAGTAAAGAACAAATATATAAAAACCTATGTCTTTGTATACGAAACATCGGTAACTTATGAAAGAGCTCCATTGGCAGTTTTAATAAAAAGTTTAAACTAAAAATATATTAACTAATTATTAACGATTACGTCGTCAACTGCCATCAACCCTAACACGAGGCAACGGTAAAATATAATCTGCAATACGTTCCATTATTATATTACTTTGAATAAATAATAAAATAATTAAATCTGTATAAAATAAATAAGAAATATAATATAATATCTTTCATTGCTCGAAAAACAAAAATTATACTTTTCTGTGGAACTGTACAAAACAGTCGTAAAGAGAAAAAACAATGATTATAAAAAAATTAAGATAACATCGTAGGTACAAAACGATTGAGTCGCTAAGCTAGACGTACTTAAAAACAATATCTTAATCTATATTATTATATTGATCATGGCGTTTTATTATGACTGTAAAAGGGGCGTCCAGGTATAGGAAGCGTATTGAGAAATCAAGGGCGGTAATAATGATGCGAAGGCCGATACGGTGCATGTTGGAGCCTGTCGTATCTTATTGAGGGCTGAGGCGATTGCGGCCAATGTCAAAAGCCCGCAAGGAGATATCTCGACGCTGCAAACCCCATTAAAATTTATATCACACACAGTTCAATATAAGCTGGAAACCATGAGTTACGTATCTTTATTAGTCGGTTAGTGCTGTGTAATCACGAGCCTGACTTTTTTGTTTGTTAATTCAATAGTTACTGCTAGACGACTTTGTCCTCTACATGATAACAATAAGCAGCATAATACTATGCTTAAAATTACTACTACCTACGTATACTTTGATCTAGCAGTAGATTCTAAAAATGATTAAATATTATCTATTACTTATTACTCGTACAATTATATACCGTATCGAGTCTTGAACCACTGGGTGACAAATAAGCTATAGTAACGGCAAGGAGTTAAGCCAGGGTTCGCCATAGAACACAAGAAGCATGCAAGTGATCTCAAAACTCTGAAATTAAATTCACTACAAGGCTGCTCTTTATAAATAACATGCTGTTATAATCATATTTGAGGTGCTAAAGTTATGCTCTAATTTGTTTTTTAATATCATTTATAATTTCGAACGTGTTTGACAACCCTATTTCTCATCAAGTACATATCTACTGGATTTCAGGTATACCCGGTACCGTGTATGATGCAGCGTTAGTAGTGGAACAGTGATATTTGACAACACCCTAACGAAGGGAAATAATTTTCATATTCGTTAAGAATGCTGTAGGAAATTCAAACTGACCAATATCTGGGTTTAAATTCTAAAGTTTGTTCATTCTACTTTTAACAATAAGTTGTAACTAACTAGAAAATTGGAATTACAACTTATTACCAATAATAAGAAAATACTTGCTCGCATCTATTGTTAAGAGAATTGAAAACAATAACTTTGTTGTGTTCGGGAAATGAAAACAACGCTGTAACGGAAAGTATCCTACATTCGGCACAAAGCGCTTTCAAACAGGTGTTATCATATACCACGTGTTGTTTAAGAGGTCAACGGGCGAACAACCCACCCGTGTGGTCAGCAGCGGCGTACTCAGCAGTCAGCAGTGGATTGGCTGCGGCTGTCAGCGCGGCGTAGTTAGCGTAATCAGCGTACGGGGACGCGTAGATGAGCTGATGAGCTGGTTCACCAGGGGAGAGTAAACCCGCTGCAGCGCCAGTGCCTGTTCCATTGAGTAACCCAGCTTGGGCTCCTGGGCCGGCCGACATACGTGGAGACAGGATCAATGGGGCCCCAAGGGGCGCTTGAGTGCGTAAAGTGACCCCTCCCACGCCTCCCCCGGGCGCCAGAAGTCGCTGTGTCTCTGCAGCGGCGGCGGCAACGCGCCTCCACTCCTCGTCAGCTGTTAGTTCACCTTCATTGTATCAAAATGTAAGCAACGTGGAAGATTAGACGAATTACAGAATTATCCCCGAATAGACGAGGTGTAGGTTAGTATATAATAGATCATAACCTAAAATTAGGTAGTCAATTTACGTTATGACGGTTATCGCTAGGATATTTTTCTTCTGCTTTAAAAGCAACTGACATTTAATCGTCGATGGTAGGTAAACAACTACCTACACTCTTAAAATGAACTTCAATAATCTCGATCACCATCGAAGTGAACATTTCAACAAAGATAAATCATTGTGTAGGCGTAAAGTCAGCCCGAGTACCTTACAAATGAATTAAGTTAAGTCATCTGAATGACTCAAATTACAGGACAAAAGGATGAACGTTTCCTTCTAATATTAAGAGACGTAACATAAAAATAACTTGATAATCTGTGTCACTAATATATCCTTGCTCCTTTAATAGCAATGGCATCAAAATATAGTGGAGCTAAAATTCTTCTATTCCACACAAGATTACAATTCGGTCGCCGAAAATATGAATTACTTTTAAGTATACGTTAATAAATGACTGTACTGGACGAAACTCAGAGAGTCGTTCGACTAAGTATTATGGCTCTATTGTCCCAAATCAACGTGGATTGGCGACTTTAAAAACTATGAGTTATATTCATATAATTCACACAAATGACACTTATTAAGTCATACTGCAGACAGTATCAGGGAAATTCACGTGGTTACAAATCCCACTTCGTATCAAAGAGCCGTCATAAATCATTCTATAAGTAATAGAAATCCCAAAAGAACGTTAGTAAGAGCTTAACAACTATTATTATTGACAAAACATGAAAACGACCATACTTATGAGGCACTGACCGTTGACAGGCACGACGGCCTTCGTGCTGGAATCGCGGTAGGTGCCGTTGATGATGGCCAACTCCATCAACTGACGCTTCTTTAGTTCATCTTCGCCGTCCGCTTGCTGGAACAACGATCATGTACTTCAACTAATTCACACAGCCATAACAATAAAGTCCCGGCATTTTTCTTTAGGGAGTCACTCAACTTATTAACGCAGATTCGTCTTGATGCGATCATGTTTAACCATACTTATCGCATCAAGCCGATTTGCAGTTAAAGCGGCCGTTCGCGCGCCGTCGCGCCATTTGTTTCTAAGCCAGGATCAGTCGTCGTCGGTTTGCGTTTGGACGCGATCAGAAATTCACAGGAAGCCGATTCGTTGCAGACTTGTGGCGAGCCGCGTTCGTACGAACCGATGCGAAACGCACAACGTCTTTTTTGCTATTACGTTCACAGACGTAAAGCTTTTTCTGACCGGCTTAATGCGACTCTACGTTAATAAGTGTGGTGACTCCCTAAAACCCTCTGTTCTTTACGATCAAGAATTTATGTACGGCTATGGTGTAGAATTCCCTGCCTACAGATTTGTTCCCTGAACGCTATAAATTGGGCCTTTTCAAGGGGAGAATGACTAGGTATTATATAGGTGTGCATGCTCTACTGTCGACCATATCGTCACTTTCCATCAGGTGAGATGTAGGTCAAATTAAGGTACTTATTTTAAACATAAAAACAAAAATCGGTGTGTCAGGGTAAAGCCTTAGGCACCATGCCAATCTTCTGACCCTCTTAAGTTACTGTTTCTTCATTGTAGTATTCAATAGCTATAATAAAAGTCGCCAACTGCATAGGCAAACTTCCCATATAGTGTACACAAGGTGTTCGGGCATCTGGATCTCACTGCTATATAGCTGTTCTACTGTACCTTCCACTACGTGATTGCTATAGGCGAAAGCTTTTACCAACTGTCACTTCTGCAACCTATTTGGCCTGATGTATAAACTTTAAATACACAAGTTCATTGGCCTTTGTTGGTAATTCTCATATCTCTATGCACTTCTTCCTTACCAAAAGTAATCTTAAGAATAAGGAAAAACTTGCTTACAGGAACCAACAAGCGCTTGACTTCATCTACAGCCCTGGCGAGCTTGATCTTAGCACGATTCTCGGTGTCCTCGACGGTGAGCAGCACATGCAAGTCATCTGCCAGGTGCTCCCAGTTCGGCTTACCCCGGTTAGCGTCCTCCTGAAATTGTACCATAAAATAGTTGTATGTGGAAATGAACCTCAAAAAATTTTTATTAATAATTAAAAGAAAACTACCATTACTAAATCCATAATTGGTAAGGTTATAAACATACACTTTCCTAAGGTTAATGTATTTTGAGATAAAATCGTATTAACGATTGTGTGTTATCACCATGTTCATCATCAACCCAATTACACGTGCCACTGATAGGCACGGGTCCCCTCTCAGGGTTTAGGCCATAGTCCGCCATGCTGGCCAAATCCGGGACTTCACACGTCTTCCGATGGTTGTAAACCTTTTTCGAGGTTCAGATTTCATCACGATGCTTTCCTTCATCGAAAAACTCATGATAAATTTCAAATGCACATAAACTCTTAGAAACTCGCAGGTACGATCAGAGGGCCCAGATTTGAATCGACGGTCTCTGATTGAGAGGTGGTAGGTCAAACCATTAGGCTATCACGGTTTTTTTTATAAAATTCAATGATCATCGAATTTTGCTGAACCTAGGCAGGGTATCAAAAGCTTTGAAAAATGCTGTCATGATGTAATATTTTTTTATCATGATTTTGTCTGTTATACTGCGGCAGACCAAACCTTTTCATCAGTATGCAACGATATTTCAAATTATAATAAAAACACACGCACTAGGGAAACCATATATCGCGGGTGCCGTGGACATATACATAGACAACCACAATACATACATACATAAATGTAGGCCATACAAATATTTCTCCCAGCTCGCGAATCGAACCCGGAACCTCTGCGTAGCAGTCCAGCACGGTAACCGTTCGGCCAGCGAATGCAGTTAAATATCTACTTAATATTGATTTGAAGTAACCTGATCCACAATCCAAATGGTGAGTGCTGCATGTAAAATAGGTGAATATTAGTACAAAATATTGGATAATTTTAAGCTACCGTTAGGCAAATGTTATTATAATTTGATTTCAATCTAAAAATTCAAATAGGTTCTTACCTTTTTCTTATCTCTCATGGAGCCTTTGCCTCTGACCATGATTTTGCAGCCAGTTTCTTGTTCCAACTGTTTTGCAGTCATGCCCCTGGGTCCAAGGATCCTTCCCACGAAGTTGAACTGTAATAAAGGAAAAATAGCATTTAATAAGATGACCTTCACGGTTTATTTTGATATACCAACTAGATACTGTAGTGTAGATACTGTAGGTAGATTATAAGCCTTATTCATCATCATGTTCATGAAATAAATTTTCTTGGAAAATGTTCTGTTCAAATAAGAAGTGTCATCTTATTTGTTTTATTTCTCATATTAATTATTTACTCTCTAGTAATATAGGTACAACACCAAGGTCATTACATATTCTCGACCAAACATTTCAAAACAAGTTATCAAGAAAATACAACTTTCTGCTTTTCCAGCACCATTAGTCCGAGGTTTAAGTACTCGCTTCGGTACACGTAAACCATATTTCCTGTCTATCTAACTAGCAATATAAACACATGTATCTACAAATGTATATCGAATAATGCATATGCTAAAAGTAAACCAACCCATTCAATCAATAGCAATGGTAAAACTTCTGCTGCTACAAAATGTTATCCAAAGTACATTATTAAACGAACCTTTCCTGTTAAATATCCCTCATATCATAATTGTAAATTTTACACTACATTTTTGTCTAAACTGGTAAGAAATTA